AAAACATAATATCTGAAGTCATTTTACTTGTACAGTAAATGCATCTTGATTCAAGAATGTTGATATTTATACTAGAAAACAAGACACAAGAGAACCATTTTTTGCAGTGTAGTCAAATAAAGTGCATCCATTTATAATAAAAAGTGTCTCACACGGCTCCGGGGGGGTGAATAAAGGCCTCCTGTAGCGAATCGATGCGTTTTTGTAAGAAAAATATCCATATTTAAAATGTTATAAACACTTTTCTCTCACTTCCGCTATCTGTCGTTCCGACGTTCCATAGTTATTTTACTACCTTTGGACTGTTAAAAAAAAAACACCCACCCACTGCCATTATAAAGCTTTGGAAGAGCAAGAACAATTTTTTATATATCTCCGATTGGATTCGTCTGAAAGAAGAAAGCGTGAGACTTGCTGCAGCGTCTCGCTCACCAGCTGACGGGTCTGTTCGCTCACCAGCGCCGTCTGAAACGCCATGGGCTTGGGCTTGATCAGGACCTGCGCACAACACCATCACTACTGATCAGTAACAGTACAGCGGCTGACCAATCACAATCAACTACTACTGAGAGACCAATGACAAACATCTGTGACCTGTGGGCTGCAAAACATGACTTTCTTACTTAGTATTTCTGTCTTGTTTTCTAGTATAAATATATAAACATTCTTGAATCAAGATGCATTTACTGCACAAGTAAAATTATTTAAGATATTAAGTCTTGTTTTCTAAAAAAAAATCTACATTTTGTTCATTTTTGCTTAAAACAAGCAAAAATATCTGCTAACGGGGTAAGAAAAATAATCTTAATTCAAAGGCTAAACAAGATTATTTTTCTTGCCACATTAGCAGATATTTTTGCTTGTTTTAAGCAAAAACTAACAAAATTTTATATATATATATATATATATATATATATAATATTATTATTATTATTATTATTATTTATTTATTTTTTTTTACATAATATCTTAAGTCGTTTTACTTGCACAGTAAATGCATCTTGATTCAAGAATGTTGATATTTATACTAGAAAACAAGACACAAGAGAACCATTTTTTGCAGTGTAGTCAAATAAAGTGCATCCATTTATAATAAAAAGTGTCTCACACGGCTCCGGGGGGGTGAATAAAGGCCTCCTGTAGCGAATCGATGCGTTTTTGTAAGAAAAATATCCATATTTAAAATGTTATAAACACTTTTCTCTCACTTCCGCTATCTGTCGTTCCGACGTTCCATAGTTATTTTACTACCTTTGGACTGTTAAAAAAAAAACACCCACCCACTGCCATTATAAAGCTTTGGAAGAGCAAGAACAATTTTTTATATATCTCCGATTGGATTCGTCTGAAAGAAGAAAGTCATATACACCTAGGATGCCTCGAGGGTGAGTAAATCATGGGCTAATTTTCATTTTTGGGTGAACTAACCCTTTAATGTTGTACACCGAAAAACAAAATAGTTTTCTTTTATTCTGAAAATTGAAAAATAAATTTTATTTTATAATCAATTAATTAATCAAATGCATTTAATTATCAACACTCAGATGTATACAAACATTTAAATAGCTCAAAATGTAGTTTATATATATTTTTAAATGATATAATGATGGATCTACTCCATTTAGTTGTTAAAATGCAAACAATTAAACTAAAGACTACTATCACAGGTTATTTAAAAATATGTAATATAGTGCATATATTTATCGAAATGCTCCTGTCTATAGTGATTTTTTTTCCTGTCAAGTTTATGGTCATTGAATGTCTTTTCTATAGTAAATGCGACATTATTGATCAAAAGCTGTTTTATTGATGTTTTTCTGCTTTTGAAACACTGATTGATGGCTTCTGATGTTCATTCATGTTTATTTGCTGCTGCAACTAGTAATAAAGAGGCAGAGATGATCGGTGATCTGTCAGCACACATTAAAGAGACACAAAATGATTGAATTTAGTGATCAAACTGACAGGATTTGAAATCTGAGACTTACAAAGTAATAAAGCACAAAGCTTATTGCAGTTATTAGATGGCAGGAGCTACAAATAATGTTCAGTGACGTTTTGTTTAATTGAAAATAGAGTGAAAGATTGATCTTGAGATTTAAGAATCAATATCAGTAAGATGCATCACAGTTTGTTCACCTATTGTAATTTATCCACATTGTGTGCAAGAAATAGACACTGATAATGCATCAAAATGTGTCATTGGTGAAGTCATTTTGATTTCATGCCTCTTTATTTTATTTATTTATTTTTTTGCTGATTTTTTTTTGCTGAAATCCTTTGGTAACCAAAATGTCACTGCATCACTAGTTTTGAAGCTCACCTTTATGAAAGAGTCTCTGATTGATCCATTGTAGAAATCCACGTCTCATGACAAATAATGCAGAATGTGTTTTGAGTTTCCAGATATTGCTGTTAATATTCTGTCAGTTGATGTGAAACTCGTGGTTTGTGTGTCTGTGTGTTTGTGTGTGCGCGTGCCTGTGTCTGTATGTCTGTGTGTATGTCTGTGTGTGTGTGTGTGTGGGTGTGTGAGCTGGGATTTTGATTCATATCAAAAGTAACAAAGCACAAATTAAATTCATTTAACAAGACCAACTCTTTAAGGCATCATTTATCTTGTAATTATGAATAACATGTTGGTGTGGCCTTTTGGAATATTTAAAAGATAAAAAAACTTGGGAATGAAGGCCCAATGATTAGCCACATACATATAGATATTGTCACAGTAATCCAACATAGACGAGAAATAATGTGCAGATGCTGTCAGTTGTTGTGAAAGTGTTTTGTGTGTGTGTGTGTGTGTGTGTTAGTCTCTGAGGAAGGTGGGTAAAGACTCCACAGTGCTGCTGATCTGTGTCACAGTGTTCCTGTCGTATCTCCCCGAGGCCGGACAGTATTCCAGCTTCTTTCTCTATCTGGGACAGGTACGTGTTTCGAAACGCTGCTCACAACCCATTCACTCCCTCCGTATGTCTGAGTAAAACAAGGAAATTAAACAAGAAATCAATGTAGCGTGAAATGTGACTTCAATTTGACTTGGACTTGCAAAAATGATGTTCCTCCTCAGTATTTTTGTCTTGTTTTCCAGTACAAATATCTAAACATCCTTAAATCAAGACACAATTAGTGGAGATGCAAAATGACTTTATATTAAGTATAAACTATATATAAAATTTAACTATATTAAGTCTTGTTTCCTAAAAAAAATGCATCAAAATGAAGTGAATTTATGCTTAAAACAAGAAAAAATATCTAATAATATTTTTTTGGTCACAAACTCGTATAATCGATATCTTTATTGATCGTATAATCGATAATATGAAAATAAAAACTAATTTAAAAACCATAAACTCACTTACCTTTGACTTTTTTTACCTACTTAAACGAGACTTAATATCATAAATTATTTTGTGTCTCAAGCATATGAATCTTGATTTCAGAATTTTTAGATATTTGACCTATCATGACCTACTTGAACTGAATTGATCGGATTAATGACTCTATTGTCTTCTGTAGAGCAGCTAAAATTTAATTCTTTTCATAGTTGATCAATTTTGCAACATTAACACTGTTATTTTCCTTTGAAGCTGCTTTGACACAATATGCATTGTATAAAGCAAATATAGAAATGAACGTGCCTTGACTGGAGCGCGGACGTTAAAAACTGTGCGTTATGTTTCAGGTCATTAACTTCTCCTCAGAAGCGATTGCAGCGTTTATTGCGATGGTGGGAATCCTGTCCATCATAGCACAGGTACAGACCTTCAGCTCCAGACACTCATTTATGAGATGATATGTGACCTGTGCTGGCAAAATGAGTGTGAATGCGCACAGGATAATTTTGAGCTACACTCAAAAAAGCGAAAAATGTCAATTTTGGTCGAATTTTAAATTTCCAAAAAAATGAGTTCATTAAAGCCGTCGTCTAGCGATCCCAATGCTCCAAATAGTAATTAAACATCTAAAAGTATTTTTATTTGTACGTTTTCTGAGAGGAGTACTCTTGCTTCTCGTGCTCGAAGCGCACACATAAAGCGCTCTATCCCAAAAACACACACGGGTGCATCTCAAAAAATTAGAATATTGTGAAAAAGTTTCTGTAACTTATTTAAAAAAGTGAAACTTACATGTATTTTAGATTCATTACATGTAATGTTTTTTTGTTTTTTTTTGATGATTAGAGCTTACAGCTCATGAAAGTCAAAAATCCAGCATCTCAAAATATTAGAATATTTCCTAAGATCAACCAAAAACAGGATTTGCAAAACAGAAAAGCTCAAGTTGTTTAAAGTATGTTCATTCCTGCACTCAATACTTGGTCGGGGCTCGTTTAGCACAAACTCCAGCATCAGTGAGGTGTGGCATGAAGCGATCAGCCTGTGGCTCTACTGAGAAACTATTGAGTTTCAGCTCGGATCCACTGTTTCTCATCTTTCTCTTGAAAACATCCCATAGACTCCATATGGGCTTCAGGTCAGGCATGCTGGCTGGCCAAACAAGCACAGTAATATCATTGGAAGTGGTTTGTCACTGTGGGCAGGTGCTAAAGTCCTGCTGGAAAAGGTAATCAGCATCTCCATAAAGCTTGTCAGCAGATGGAAGCATAAAGTGCTCAAATCTCCTGCTAGACGGCTGCATTGACTTTGGACTTGATAAAACACAATGGAGCAACACCAGCAGACGTCACGGCACCCCAAATCATCACTGACTTCAGAAACTTCAC